ATATACTCGGTTTTCCTTAAATACATAACATACCAAGCTGCAAAGAGGCTTTTTTTTTTTTTTTTTTAAGGCTTTTGTTACTCTCTAAATTTAACCGGGAAAACTGGAACAGCAAGTAGTTTAGGAACTAAAACTAGGCATTCCTCTAAAAGTGCAAAGCCAATCCTCCTTGCTATCTCTGGAAATGATTGGGTTACTGTTTCAAAGAATAAAAATGCATAGATGTGAATATTATATTTGATCCTGGCGTAGCGTCCAGCACATGGTACATAGCCAGTAAATGCCAGCTGAATTGGAACAAATGTATACAGTAGGCACACAGCGAAGTTGTTCTTATGGATAATTTTAACAGGAAAACGCAAGAATAAACTGGTGTTTAGAAAAGATCCTCTGAGGGGCGCCCCGGAGGCTCAGTTGGTCAAGCGTCCAACCCTTGGTTTCGGCTCAGGTCATCATCATCTCAAGGTTTTGAGATCAAGCCCCGCATCAGGCTCCGCACCCGATACTGAGTCAGCTTGAAGATTCTCTCTCTCCCTCTGCCCTTTGCCGTGCTCATGCTCTTTAAATAAATAAGTAAATAAGTAAATAAATAAAATCTTTAGCAAAGGTCCTCTGACACAGTGGTTCTCAGCTGGAGGCAATTTTTAGTTGTGACAGGAGGGAGACGGGAAGATTGCTGCTATCTAGTGGGCAGAGACCAAGGATTCCGCCAACATTGCCCATGACAGCCGCTCACAGCAAAGAATTACCCGGTCCAGAATCTCAACACCGCCGCTGTTGAGAAACCCCACCCTAAACACACACCTGCATATACATAAACACAGACACACAACAGCAAGAACAAGAACAGCAAAACAAAACAACTTGAGGCTTTGTTAGAATATGAAGAATAAAGATGGGCTCCCTACCCCTGTTATTTTCACCGATTAGAGCTGGTTGACAGAAAAGTAAACAACATATCACCCTTTAGCATTACCCCAGCCCTCTGACCTATTCAAGTAGTTGGTCATGAGTTCCTGTAGTTTTTATATAGCCTTCAAAGTAACATATCTATTTCCTTTTTAAAAATACTGTTTCTAGGGGCACCTAGTGGCTCAGTTGGTTGAGCATCCAACTCTTGGTATCGACTCAGGTCATGATCTCACAGTCGTGGGATGAAGCCCCATGTCGGGCTCTGAGCTCAGTGCAGAGTCTGCATCAGATCCTCTCTCCCTCTCCCTCCTGCTCTCTCTCTCTCAAATAAATAAATAAAATTTTTTTTTAAATATCATTTCTAGGGGCACTTGTGTGGCTCAGTCGGTTAAGCGTCCAACTCTTGATTTTGGCTCAGGTCACGATCTCAGGATTGTGAAATCGAGCCCTGCATTGTGCTGGGCATGGAGCCTGCTTAAGATTCTCTCTCTCCCCCTCTGCCCCTCCTACCCTAAAAAATATTTTTTTAAAATATTGTTTCTATATATTTTCCATGCCTCTACATGATCTTTACTGTCAAATAGATTTTCAGGCACTTGAGGACACCATCAATTTTTTAAGGTTTTAATTTTTTTTTCAAATATCTGTTCCATGTTCCATTTAGCCCTTAACCTGTTTTTATGTTCAGCTAATGTACAGTGTTATAAGTTACTCATGTGAAAATTTAAAAATGGACTTGTCTAGAAAAGAAAACAGAACAAAATTTATAATATTCTAGAAGCTCTTGGAATGTTGCTACCCAGAATTTTTTACTTTCCTTTCCTTCCAGAAGTCTTTTATCAAAAAAGAAGGAGGAGGAGGAGGTCCTTTTTTTCAAGTATTCAAACAACTCAAAGTGCAATTGCCTGTCTTTAGTCTGTCAACCAAGTTTTTTTTTTTTTTTTAAGACTTTATTTATTTATTTGACAGAGAGAGACACAGCGAGAGAGGAAACACAAGCAGGAGGAGTGTGAGAGGGAGAAGCAGGCTTCCCGCTGAGCAGGGAGCCCAATGCGGGGCTCGATCCCAGGACCCTGGGATCATGACCTGAGCCAAAGGCAGACGCTTAACGACTGAGCCACACAGGCGCCCCCACCAAGTTTTTTTTTTTTTTTGTGATTAGTCTCATCTCGTCAAATTTTTAAATAATTTTAAACAAAACAAAACAAGAATATTCCTCTGAAGCCCTTCACTTAAAATCTGAAGTAGTTTCTCCTCTGTAAAATCCAACACTATTCTGTTCTCTGAGTCCCTATTGTACCTGGTACCATTAGATCTTTTAACCTCTGTGATAACTATTGAATAATGATCAGGTTTCCATGTCTGTTTCACTCACTAGACTTTGAGCACCTCAAGGGCAGACAAACTTACTAATCTTTGTACTTCCTATCCCTACCCCAAAGCTGGCTTGTGGTAGATGTCGATAAATATTTGTAGAATACGGTAATGATAGGCTAAACACCTACTGAACTGTGGGCAACATTATAAGGTTTAGCATTTATTTGTCTCTGGTATTTTCCTGAGTTTACTTGTGTTCTCTCTAGGTGTTTCAGGTGTCCACTGTGCCCAGAAAAAAAAAAAGAAGAAGATAGCAGGAGGGGAAGAATGAAGGGGGGGAAATCGGAGGGGGAGAGGAACCATGAGAGACGATGGACTCTGAAAAACAAACTGAGGGTTCTAGAGGGGAGGGGGGTGGGAGGATGGGTTAGCCTGGTGATGGGTATTAAAGAGGGCACATTCTGCATGGAGCACAAACAATGAATCATGGAACACTACATCAAAAACTAATGATGTAATGTATGGTGATTAAAATAACAATAAAAATTTTAAAAAAAAAGAATCCAAGGGCATAAACCACATTTTATCCTTCCACTAGAATTTTTATTGATTATGAATTGGGGAAAGTGCCAAATTAGCCTCCAGGAGAACAGGATTCTCATATCCACAGAATTGAAAACTAGCGAATTATTCTTTAGATTATCTATTCAGTTGTCCCTGACAGGCCATCAAAGATTATCTATTCAGTTGTCCCTGACAGGCCACCAAATTAGCCTGGTACCATAGATCCAAAGCTCGGAAGTGAATTGGGAGACTCTCTAGAAAGTATCCCTGAATCATGACTTCCTTATTTTCTTTTTCTTTCTTCCATTCTTACTGAGGCAGATCGCTTTGAACTATGCTAAGTTCTTTGCTTGAATTTTTGCATCCTGGGGCACCTGGGTGGCTCAGTCGTTAAGCGTCTGCTTTCGGCTCAGGTCATGATCTCAGGATCCTGGGATTGAGCCCCGCGTCGGGCTCCCTGCTCAGCGGGAAGCCTGCTTCTCCCTCTTCTACTCCCCCTGCTTGTGTTCCCTCTCTTGCTGTGTCTCTCTGTCAAATAAATAAATAAATAATCTTTAAAAAAAAATTTTTGTATCCTAGTTTTTCCAAATATATAAACAACATATAAAATATATTTGGAGAGAGAGCGAGAGAAAGGCTCTGGTGTGCCGTGAGTGTACTGAAAGTAAAAGGAATAAGTTGAAGAATAATGCTAATTCTTGTCATCTGGTGAAAACAATATGAAAATCACTTGAAATTATTTTCAGAACTCTTCAAGAATACTACATGGAGACATGCAGCAAGTATACTAAGACTCTTGACAAGCAATTTCAGTCATTTCCACAATTCCTTGACATGAAGTTGTTTGCCAGCTTGTTTCTAAAGAATGTTCACGATTCAGAATCTTCTTGTCAATCATTCTCTCACTAATCCTCCCAAGCTCTTGTGTTACTTGATAAAGCCTATTAACTTTATTACTTCCCGCATTTTATGGTTGGAAAATGCCAGCTGCAAGGTTGTGTAATGAATGTATTCTTAAGGTGAGACGAGGACTCTTCACCGCCGTTTTGCTGCTCTGCTTGAGGGAGAAAATAAGTGTACCAAGGACTCAACCAACAGTATTCATCCATCTCAGTAAAACCCCAGCCATTCAGCATCTTGAGAGCACAGTAGACTCACTTGGGGAACTTTAAAAAACAACGCTGCCCGGCTCCCACCCCCAGAGAGTCTGGCATAGGAATTTTAAAGCTCCTTGGGTGATTTTCATGTGCAGCTTGACATTCACTGCACTTGAAGTCCCCAACACACACTTTACCCAAATTAGTAAAACTTACTTAAAACCATCAATTGCTTACTGTATTTCTGAAATAATTCTCAGATAATCTACTCTTGAACTAATTGCTCTGAGTGGAAGGGCTCCTTGGCTTGTTTCTTAATAGCCAGGTACCAACACAAATGAATATTTAACTATTCTGTTAATACTTATCCTAATCAAAAGCTGGGGTTTTTTCTTTTCTTTTCTTTTCTTTTCTTTTTTTTTTAAGTAGGCTCCATGCCCAGCATGGAGCCCCACCGGGGCTTGAACTCATGACCCTGAGATCAAGACCTGAGCTGAAAAAAAAAAAAAAAGACGTGAGCTGAGATCAAGAGTCAGACACTTAAACTGAGCCACCCAGATGCCCCTCAAGAGCCATTTTTAAAAATGAGACTTTCAGGAAACAGTTCTCCCTATATTAGAGCTTAATTCCTTCCTTCTACTTAATAATTTAATTCCTTGCAAAATATTTTTTGCTTGTCCTGAAAAGAATTTCTAATTGTCTGAAATAGGTAAGGTTAAAGATATCCAGCGAAAATCTTTTACGTTAAATATAGTATCAGCAATGTTCAGTCACATAAAACTCATCTAATTTCATTTGCCTTCACATTTGGTGCTCACTAAATGAAAACCTGATGGCTAGCAAAGAGTTCTGTGTATTTTTTTTTAATTGGTTTTAGTTCTTCCTTACATAAATCTTTCTTTTTCCAGACTTGAAGTATCTGGGTGCAAGCATTCTCATCATATAGTTTGGTCAAAATCAACTCGCAGGCATGAACATTGCTGTTATCATTTGACAAAGAACACGAACCAAAGACAAACAGGTGGATCTAATTTCTTTTTTTTGTAAGAAATATTTGGTTCTACAGGAATCTAGAATTTCAGATACTGCACTTCAAAACCAAGTACTTACATTTTCTAGGAGGCAAACAGCGGCAGGATTCCCACGAAATGCTTTTGCTGTAAATGCATCTACTACAAAAACAGGGAGCTTCATTTTTCTTGCTCTCAAAATTGCTGGTAGCCTGCTCTACTTCTACTTGTTGCAAAAAATCAGGAAGTTAATGTTTTACTTGGTGTACAGAAGCAACCAACGACCCAGGTCAAGCAATGACTCCAGTACACCTACATTTAAAGATAGGTGATCCCCTAATATTTAAGTCTCTAAATTGAATTTGTTTTAAAATACTGGATGAGGGGCTCCTGGGTGGCTCAGTCGTTAATCATCTGCCTTTGGCTCAGGTCATGATCCCAGGGTCTGGGGATCGAGCCCCGCATTGGGCTCCCTACTCAGAGGGAAGCCTGCTTCCCCCTCTCCCACTCCCTCTGCTTGTGTTCCCTCTCTCGCTGTGTCTCTCTCAGTCAAATAAATAAATAAAATCTTAAAATAAAATAAAATAAAATACTGGATTAATAGGATATTTAATTTTCAAATCTTGTATTGATATTTATACTGAATGTATACTTAAGAACATAATCATATCATTTCTTAGAGTAGCCAAACTAGCTTAGGTTATGTTTTTAATGAAGTGCTTGAAATGTCCAAGGGGACGTGTTGCAAGATTTCTTTTCCTTCAGTTCTCGCAGTTCTTGGTCACACTGCACGAAGAATGAAGAGGTAGACCAGACGAAGAGTGGTGGGCAGCAAAGCAAAGTTTATTGAGCTTTAGCACAGAGCTCCTGAAGAGGGAGGGGACCCGAGAGGGTTGCCACTAGAGTTTCTAAGTCTAGGGGTTTTAGCAGCTTGTTGGCTCTGTTCTAATCTGATTAACCCTCCAGGCACCTGTCACCAATCTAGTTTTTGTCATCTAACTATCACATGAGAAAGGGTGGAGGGCTCCTTCCAGGGAGGTGTAAAATCCTTTATTTTTATTTTTAAATTCAATTAATTAATATATAGTGTATTATTAATTTCAGAGGTAGAGGTCAAGTGATTCATTAGTCTTATATAACACCCAGTGCTGATTACATCACGTGCCTTCCTTAATGCCTGTCACCCAGTTACTCCATCCCCCCAGCCCCCTCCCCTCCAGGAACCCTCCGTTTGTTTCCTATGATTAAGAGTCTCTTATGGTTTGTCACCCTCTCTGATTTTGTCTTGTTTTATTTTTTCTTCTCTTTCCCTATGATCCTCTGTTTTCTTAAATTCCACATATGAGTGAGATCATACAGTATTTGTCTTTCTCTGACTTATTTTGCTTAGCATAATACCCTCTAGTTCCATCCACGTCATTGCAAATGGCAAGATTTCATTTTTTTTTGATGACTGAGCAGTATTCCATTGTGTGTATATCCACATCTTTTTTACCCATTCAACAGTCAATGGACATCTGGGCTCATCTTACAGTTTGTCTATTGTGGACATTGCTGCTATGAACGTTGGGGTGCAGGTGCCCCTTTGGATCACTACATTTGTATCTTTGGGGTAAATACCCAGTAGTGCAATTGCTGGTCATATGGTAGCTCTATTTTCAACTTTTTGAGGAACCTCCATACTGTTTTCCAGAGTCGCTGCACCAGCTTGCATTCCCAACAACAGTGCAAGAGTTCCCCTTTCTCTGCATCTTTACCAACATCTGTCGTTTCTGACTTGTTAATTTTAGCCATTCTGACGGGTGTGAGGTGGTATTTCATCGTGGTTTTGATTTGTATTTCCTTGATGCCCAGTGATGTTAGGCATTTTTTCATGTGTCTGCTGGCCATTGAATTATTTGTTCTTTGGGTGTTGACTTTGATAAGTTCTTACGGATTTTGAATACTAGCCCTTTATCTGATATGTCATTTGCAAATATCTTCTCCCATTCTGTCGGTTGTCTTTTGGTTTTGTTGACTGTTTCCTTTGCTGTGCGAAAGCTATTTATCTTGATGAAGTCCCAATAGTTCATATTTGCCCTTGTTTCCCTTGCCTTTGGAGAAGTGTGTAGCAAGAAGTTGCTGCGTCTGAGTTCACAGAGGTTGCTGCCTGTGTTCTCCTCTAGGATTTTAATGGATTCCTGTCTCACATTTAAGTCTTTCCTCTATTTTGAGTCTATTTTTGTGTATGGTGTAAGGATATGATCCAGTTTCAGTCTTTTGCATGTCCAATTTTCCCAACACCATTTGTTGAAGAGACTGTCTTTTTTCCATTGGATATTCTTTCCCGCTTTGTCGAAGATTAGTTGACCAGAGAGTTGAGGGTCCATTTCTGGGTTCTCTATTCTTTTTTTTTTTTTTTTTAAGATTTTACTTATTTATTTGACAGAGACATAGCGAGAGAGGGAACACAAGCAGAGAGAGTGGGACAGGGAGAAGCAGGCTTCCCGCAGAGCAGGGAGCCCAATGCGGGGCTCGATCCCAGGACCCTGGGATCATGACCTGAGCCTAAGGCAGACGCTTAACGACTGAGCCACCCAGGCGCCCCTGGGTTCTCTATTCTGTTCCATTGATCTGTGTCTGTTTTGTGCCAGTACCATACTGTCTTGATGATCACAGCTTTTAATAGAACTTGAAGTCCAGGGCTCCTGGGTGTCTCAGTCCTTAAGTGTCTGCCTTAGGCTCAGGTCATGATCCCAGGGTCCTGGGATTGAGTCCCGCATCGGGCTCCCTGCTCAGCAGGAAGCCTGCTTCTCCCTCTCCCACTCCCTCTGCTTGTGTTCCCTCTCTTGCTGTCTCTCTCTCTGTGTCAAATAAATAAATAAAATCTTTAAAAAAAAAAAAAAAAGAGAGAACTTGAAGTCCAGAATTGTGATGCCACCAGCTTTGCTTTTCTTTTTCAACGTTCCTCTAGCTATTTGGGGTCTTTTCTGGTTCCATACAAATTTTAGGATTATTTGTTCTAGCTCTGTGAAAAAAGTTGATGGTATTTTGATTGGGATTGCATTGAATGTGTAGATTGCTCTAGGTAGCATAGACATTTTAACAGTATTTGTTCTTCCAATCCATGAGCATGGAATGTTTTTCCATTTCTTTGTGTCTTCCTCAATTTCTTTCATGAGTTCTATAGTTTTCTGAGGACATATCCTTTGCCTCTTTGGTTAGGTTTATTCCTAGGTATCTTATGGGTTTTGGTGCAATTGTAAATGGGATTGATTCCTTAATTTCTCTTTCTCCTGGGGCGCCTGGGTGGCTCAGTTGGTTAAACGTCTGCCTTCGGCTCAGGTCATGATCCCAGGGTCCTGGGATCGAGCCCCGCATCGGGCTCCCTGCTCCACGGGAAGCCTGCTTCTCCCTCTCACACTCCCCCTGCTTGTGTTCCATCTCTCGCTGTGTCTCTCTCTGTCAAATAAATAAATAAAATCTTTAAAAAAGAAAAGAAAACTAGAAGCAGAATTGTTTGACTTAAAAAAAAAATTTCTCTTTCTTCTGTCTCGTTGTTAGGGTCTAGAAATGCAACTGATTTCTGTGTGTTGATTTTATATCCTGCCACATTGCTGAAGTTTCTATATGAGTTCTAGCAGTTTTGGGGTGGAGTCTTTTGGGTTTTCCAAATAGAGTATCATGTCATATATGAAGAATGAGAGTTTCACTTCTTCTTTGCTGATTCAGATACCTTTCATTTCTTTTTGTTGTCTGATTGCTGAGGCTTATTAAGACTTCTAGTACTATATTGAACAACAGTGGTGATAGTGGACATCCCTGCTGCGTTCCTGACTTTAGGGGAAAAACTGAGACTAATATTCGCTGTGGGCTTTTCATAGATGGCTTTTATGATATTGAGGTATGTACCCTCTATCCCTACACTGTGAAGAGTTTTCATCAAGAAAAGATGCTGTACTTTGTCAAATGCTTTTTCTGCATCTATTGAGAGGATCATATGGTTCTTGTCCTTTCTTTTACTGATGTATTGTATCACATTGATTGATTTGAGGATATCGAACCACCCTAGCAGCTCAGGAATAAATCCTACTTGGTCATGGTGAATAATCCTTTTAATGTACTATTGAATCCTATTGGCTAGTATCTTGGTGAGAATTTTTGCTTCCATGTTCACCAGGGATATTGGTCTGTAATTCTCCTTTTTGATGGGGTCTTTGTCTGGTTTTGGGATCAGGTAATGCTGGCCTCATAGAAAGAGTTTAGAAACCTTCCTTCCATTTCTATTTTTTGAAACAGCTTCAGAAGAATAGGTATTAATTCTTCTTTAAATGTTTGGTAGAATTCCCCTGGGAAGCCATCCAGCCCTGGACTCTTGTTTGTTGGGAGATTTTTGATTACTGCTTCAATTGCCTTGCTGGTTATGGGTCTGTTCAGGTTTTCTACTTCTTCCTGTTTCACTTATGGAAGTTTATATGTCCCTAAGGATGCATCCATTTTTTCCAGATTGCCTAATTTGTTATAATAGGCAATAATATTGAACAATCATAATATGTTCTTATAATTGTTTGTATTTTTTTTGGTGTTAGTTGTGATCTCTCTTCTTTCATTCATGATTTTATTTATTACTTACTTATTTGGGTCCTTTCTGTTTTCTTTTTGATAAGTCTGGCCAGGGGATTATTAATCTTATTAATTCTTTCAAAGAACTAGCTCCTAGTTTTGTTGATCTGTTCTGTAGTTCTTCTGGTTTCTATTTCATTGATTTCTGCTCTAATCTTTATTACTTCTCTTCTCCTGCTGGGTTTAGGCTTTATTTGCCATTCTTTCCCCAGCTTCTTTAGGTGTAAGGTTAGGTTGTGTATTTGGGCCTTTCTTGTTTCTTGAGAAAGGCTTGTATTGTACTTCCCTCTTAGGACCCCCTTTGCTGCATCCCACAGGTTTTGAACAGTTGTGTTTTCATTTTCATTTGTTTCCATGAATTTTTTAAAAGATTTTATATATTTATTTGACAGAGAGAGAGGGCGAGAGAGGGAACACAAGCAGGTGGAGTGTGAGAGGGAGAAGCAGGCCTCCCGCCAAGCAGGGAGCCCAATGCAGGGCTCGATCTCAGGACCCCGGGATCAAGACCTGAGCCTAAGGCAGATGCCTAACAACTGAGCCACCCAGGTGCCCCATGTTTCCATGAATTTTTTTAATTCTTCTTTAATTTCCTGTTGACCCATTCATTCTTCAGTAGGATGCTCTTTAGCCTCCATGTATTTGAGTTCTTTCCAAATTTCCTCTTGTGAATGAGTTCAAGTTTCAAAGCATTGTGATCTGAAAATACGCAGGGAATGATCCCAATGTTTTGGTACTGGTTGAGACCTGATTTGTGACCAGTATGTGATCTATTCTGGAGAAGGTTCCATATGCACTTGAGAAGAATGTGTATTCTGTTGCTTTAGAGTGGAATGTTCTGAATATGTCTGTGAAGTCCATCTGGTCCAGTGTGTCATTCAAAGCCCTAGTTTCCTTGTTGATCTTCTGCTTAGATGATCTGACCATTTCAATGAGTGGGGTGGCAAAGTCCCCTGTTATTACTGTATTATTATCAATGTGTTACATCTTTAATTTTGTTATTAATTGGTTTATATAATTGGCTGCTCCCATGTTAGTGGCATAAATATTTACAATTGTTAGATCTTACTGGATAGACCCTTTAATTATTATATAATGTCCTTCCTTATCTCTTATTACAGTTTTTGGTTTAAAATCTAATTTGTCTGGGGGCACCTGGGTGGCTCAGTCGGTTAAATGGCTGCCTTCGGCTCAGGTAATGATCTCAGGGTCCTGGGATCGAGCCCCGCATAGGGCTCCCTGCTCAGTGGGGAGTCTGCTCCTCCCTCTCCCTCTGCCTGCCACTCCCTTTGCTTGTACTTTCTCTCTCTCTGTGTCAAATAAATACATATTTTTTAAAAAATTTATTTAATCTAATTTGTCTAATATAACAATTGCCACCCCAGCTTTCTTTTGATGTCCATTAGCATGATAAATGGTTTTCCACCCCTCACTTTCAATCTGGAGTTGTCTTTGGGTCTAAAATGAGTCTCTTGCAGACAGCATATTGATGGGTCTTGCTTTTTTTTTTTTTTTTAAGATTTTATTTATCTATTTGACAGAGAGAGAGAAAACTAGAGAGGGAACACAAGCAGGGGGAGTGGGAGAGGGAGAAGCAGGCTCCCAGCTGAGCGGGGAGCCCAATGCCAGGCTCAATCCCAGGACCCTGGGATCATGACCTGAGCCAAAGGCAGACGCTTAACAACTGAGCCACTCAGGCACCCCAGGTCTTGCTTTTTTTATCCAATCTGATACCCTGTATTTTTTGATTGGGACATTTAGCCCATTACATTCAGAGTAACTATTGAAAGATATGAATTTAGTGCCATTGTATTACTTGTAAAGCCACTGTTTCTGTACAGTGTCTCTGTTCCTTTCTGGCCTATCTAGTAACATACTTTTGGGCTCTCTCTTCACTTAAAGGATCCCTTTTAATATTTCTTGCAGGGCTGGTTTAGTGATCACAAATTCTTTTAGTTTGTTTGTCATGGAAACTTTTGCAGGTGTTCAGAATAATTTGATAGCTATCTAGCTGAATTCCTGGGACCAGAAGAAACTAAGGTCTCCTACTCCTCCACCATCTTGGACTATCTCCCCTCTAAAATCCTTTTAAGGGTGGTTTCCTCTTAGGGCGGGGGCCCCTGTCCCTGCCTGCCTTTCTTCCAACTAGCCTTCATTAGACATATATGTTGCTAACATATCTTGAGTTTTTATTTGTGTTTCTTGGATTATCCTAACCAGACTGTATAGAGCAGAAAGTTGGAACCTCTTTTTGTTTTTCCTCACTGCGATGATCTTGGTTCCTAGAACAGTGCCTGGCACGCAATAAATATTTATTGAAGTAATTAAGTAAGTAAATAATACACTGAGCATACACCAAAACTGGATTTTGATACATTGCTGACAAATACTTAGGGGTTCTCAACACAGAATCATCTGCCAGCCAACATTTCTGTTTCAGGAGCATCACTGTTATTGTCAGTACATTGCAGTTCATTTATGCAACTACATGGAAATTTTATCATAGATTGCCAAAAATTTTAGAAAACTTAGAGAACAAATTAAAGTTCTGATAATGAAGCATAGTTTTCATCAATTTAATAGAATTAATACTGTTTTGGAAGTCATAAGTGTGGCAAAAGGAGCATATTTTTAACCTCATTGAACTTCAGCCTCATTGGTCCTAGCTGTCAGCTACATATGCAGTTGGATAAGAAAATGTATATTGAAAAGATTGTCTAATTCTTCCATCGTGATCATGAATTACATGTGCAAGTTTTTAAAACACAGTGTTTAAATACTCTTCTGAAG